TATATATATTATTTTTGTATATATATATATATATTTTTTTGTATATATATATTAGGGATGCACAATATTGGACTTTTGGCCAATATCCAATATGCCAATATGTTAAAACTTATTTGGCCGATAACATATGCCGATACCGATATTTTATATACGTTCCTTTGTCAGAACATAGCCCTCATTTTAAGGGCTTATTTACTACAAAAATTGTGCAACAGCTGTAAGAGCTGGTGACATATATTCAGTAACAGCCATATGATATGCATAGCACTTTGACTTATATTAAATGAAAAGTGTTAAATTTTATTTATTAGCATTAGTCACCTGCGGCAGCACGGTGGCACAACTGGTAGAGCTGCTGCCTCTCAGCGAGCAGGTCCTTGGTCCAAACCCCGGTCCAGGGGCCTTTCTGGGTGGAGTTTGCATGTTCTCTCCGTGCATGCGTAGGTTTTCTCCGGGTACTCCGGTTTCCTCCCACAGACCAAAAACATGCATGTTAGGCTGATTGGTAACTCTAAATTGTCCCTAGGTGTGAATGGTTGTTTGTCTCGTTTGTCTCTATGTGGCCCTGTGATGGACTTGCGACCCGTCCAGGGTGTACCCCGCCCCTCGCACAGTGATTGCTGGACATGGGCACCAGCGACCCCTGTGACCCAAAATGGAATAAGCGGGTAAAGATATTGGATGGATGGATAGTCACCTGTGATGCTGTCTTACTTGTGGAGGCTTGTTCCAGGTTCCTAGTTGTGCATGAAGGACAGCCTTTTTAAGTTCAAAGTTTTTGTCTATCCATTGTGCCATAAAACTTAATCATGCTAACGGCGCTAACACGACGGCCAAATGTCAGTGGTAAAACTCACCCAACAAGTCGTGCTATCGGCTATTAGCTTCTCTCCGACGTCGGAAATGATGGCTTGTAACTCAAGTAACGTTACATCAGAAAAATATCTCAGACTGCAGACAATGTAGCGAGGCTCAACGTAGTCCATAAATCTTTGGAATCTGACATCCTGACCAATGAAAAATAAAACTTCCACACCGCCGACATTTTGAATTTTACTCTCCGCCGCGAGCTCGGTTAGGCGCATGTGACGTCATTGCATTGCGCTGCCTCTGCAGGCAAAAACAGCGCCTTTTATATTATTTTAATGGAATGGTCAATGTCCGATATTGAAATTTAACGTTAATATCGGCCGATACTGATACCATGCCAATATCGTGCATCCCTAATATATATATATATATATATATATATATATATATATATATATATATA